CTTGAAGGAATGGAACGAAGTACAACACCTTGTTGGCCCCGCATCACAAAGGCTCGGTGAAGGGCGGTATCTGAGTAATGATGCTGGTGACTCCGAACTTAAAGGGTGAAGGCGAAGTCTGTCACCCGATGTTCAACGTCACCGGTCTAAAGACGTGATTAGAGGTGGCTTCAGCCAGGCGTGCGTGTCCCATATACAACTGTGTGTTGTACTTCGTTCCATTCCTTCAAGGAACTGTGGTTATATTCATAACCKTACGATTTCCCCTGTWGGAGGAAATATCTGCGTGTGTTCAGGTTGACATGATAAGCTCCTTTAAAAACATTGTGCTRAAAAGTTTCCTGTAGACAAAGTTGACTGAACAAATCATGAAAATGCTCAGTGATATGGTCTTTATTTACAAAATGAAAAATGTGTGGTTGTTTTTTTCCCATCTATGTAATGGTATCATGAAGATAGTTGCGATGAGACATTATCTCGCAAAAAATATTGTAGACAAAAAATAAACAAATCCTCCAGCAAGTTACCACATGCTTTTATCATTTTCAATAAAACAAAATTCCAGGGGATGGAAATGTTTGTGAAGTCATATTTTTGTACTTGCATGAGAGAAAGATGTACTTCAATCCAGGGTATAGGATTGTGGAATGGTCTGGAAGATCTTAAAATGCCAGATCTATTTAAGAGACAGATAAAAGCTAGTTTTCTGAAGGTATGTGGAATAGTAAAATGAGAAGCTACATGAATTGTTGTTTGAGTTGATGTTTCTATTTTTATTTGGATTGTTTTGTAAATTATGTTTTGTTTGAATGTATTCTGGGGATAAAAGGGGCAGACATTCTTCAATCTTTCATTTTATTTAGATTTTTGATTTGTGTATTTTCTTTGTTTTTTTTATTATAAATAGTTATTTTTTAATGAAATTAATACATTTTTTGAATTGAATTGAATAAAAAATGGATATTCTCCTCAAACGATTAAAAGAATTCTGGTTTCAGTCTGTGACGATGCCTGATAGTGTTGTTCKGATTCCTAACACATTCTGTTTTGTTCGGTGCAGACGGCGGCCTCATGTCCAGAGATGGTTTGCCCACCCAGAGCACCACGCTGGAGGCTCTGCTGCGAGGGGGTCTCGACAAGAGGAACAACTCCAAGAATGACGAGGAGAGCCTGCTGGAGATCCAGGTAGGCTCRGTCGAACACTGTGGTTGGTGCTCGTAGAGCATCGGGGAGATGTTTAAAATGCAAACGCTCMGTTACATCATGCCAGCTCTCAGAGCAGTGAGTGTTGCCTTAACCGGTTGCCAAGTTTTTTTTCAAACTAACCTGCAGAGCTTGTTAACTGAGCACTGAAGCATTTTTTGGACAAGTGGACCGCCTCGCTACTGGTCATTATATTTACCACAGTGAGAAATATTCACTACCGAATTATGTGTTCAGAAAAGGTAAAACTAAATAAAAGTTAGTTTCACTTCAAGTCATGTTTTAGTATAAAGATTCGGTTTAAAGCCAGATAATCTTATCTCAGTGTCACACATTCCAATAAGCACATGTGGAAACAGGATTTTTTTTTTTACAGGAAACAGGAATTGGTTTGTCATCAACCAAAAATATCTGCAAGATTAAAAGGAAAAATAATCTTTTTAATTGTGTTAATTTAGTTTTTTATGAAAGTATGCTTCAATCAGAGCTCAGATTGAAAGTGTCCTCTGTCTTTTACAGAGGGTTTTGGAGGCAGATGCGGCCGAAGATGCGTTTAATGATGATGATGATTTTGAGGTAGACACTCCTAAAAGGAGACATCGAGGCAAAGGAAGAGTAAGTCACTAAAGGAGAGGCTGTGGTTGTTCTGATGTTGCAGTTTTACACTCATCGTTTTAAACTCTTGTCTGATGAGGCTTGGGTTAAAAGCAGCCCTTCTCCTCTGCTCCCGTCAGGGTCGAGGTTCGGGCCGCAGGAGGACAGATCTGGATGATGATAAGCCATACTTCTGTGACAGTAAGTAGACAATTCCTAAATATATTTTACTCTCTCATAACTTGTAACATGATATCTTCTATTGTGTTCAACTTTTATTTTGTAGGCAAAACAAAAGCTGTATTCTGTCCACATAAATCTGCTTTCTGTGGAAAATATAGTCAGATCTACTGCTTTCAAATATTTAAAGTCACCTTAAAGTGTTTTTCAACATGTACCTGCTGTGTAAAATCCAGGAAGTTTTTGCTCTAACTAGACTTGGATAATCTATTCTTATGTTTTATTTTCTTCCTGTCTTTTTGTTTTTGTTTCAGACAGATATAGACAGAAGCAGAACTCCAAACCTTTGACCTCAGGTACTTTAATTTGTTTGTCTCTTTTAAAGGGATCTGTACAACTGTGACAGATGCAAAACATTTAGTTGGTTAAATTTTTATCCTCGACACAWGCTGCCACAAAAGTTCAAACTGCTAGCAACCGTTTCAGCGGGACTGAACCTCCACCCTCTTTTCGTTGCAGTCTGTACAAAGCGCTACAGGAACCGCACAGGACTCAGTTACCACTACACCCATTCCCACCTGGCAGAGGAGGACAGAGCCGGGGAGAGAAGCACGGTGGCCTCCCGCTCCCCCTCTGCACCACTGTCCGACAGACACAAACGTAAGACGCCTGAAGCTCCTGGAAAGTTGTTTTCAAATGTTTTAGTATCAACATATTTTCTAAACCTCCTCCTGTGGATCAAATGAAGCCAAGATCTGTGGAAATTTAGATTCTTATAAAGAAATGAGGACACAAAAGAGACTGGCTAAAATACTTTTTCTTTACAATTATGGGAGCTCTTTCAGAAAGTCTGCGATTTGTTTTTGGATTTTTCTTGTAAATAACTGCTTTTCATAAGTTTTTATCAGCCATCAGTAAAATGTAAATTTGTCCTGTGATGTTTTCTTTAAGGTCCAAAGAGTTCTGGTGGGACCAGCATACCCAACAACTACTGTAATAAATGCCATGGCTCAAACAGGAAACTGGGTAAAACTGGCTCTGCCTGTCAATGCACAAGTGAGTTTATGTACACGGATATAATATGTAATACACAGAAGTGGGTAGTAACTGGTTGTGTTTACTTAAGTAACTTTTTTGGAAAAAAAAAACTTTTAGAAGCAGTTGGACTTCACTGTACTTGAGTAACTTCAACTTCACGCATTTTTATTATCCTCACTGGGCAATTTGTTGCGCAGTCAGTACATAAAAACAAAACATTTATACACAAACACAAAAAAGATCACAAATGTTCGTTAAGAAATGTAAATGCTGCAGGGATAAATGCGTTTTTAAGTCTATTAGTCCTACATTTGGTCGACTGATACCTGTGTCCGGACGGAATAATAATAATAATATGAAGTATCGCTACTCTTACTTGAGTAAAACTTTGGAATACCCACTGTAAGTTACTTGACTGAATAAAGAACAAACATGTTTTAACAAGCCACACACCTACAGTTCATTTATAATAAGTTTCTTCATGTTAGTCTTTAAAACACGAAAATTTGCATGTAACTTTCAATTTTTTGTCAGTCTGATGACATCATTTTAGAATGTTAAATCAGACATTATGATCAGTCCTCGGCACTTAAGTTTTTATAAAATACTCTTTTACGTGAGCAGTTTTTTGGATGACCAACTTTTACTTTCAGTTGAGTAAAAATATGTTGAATAAGTGCTCTTCAACAGTACTCACCCACCTCCGGTAGTACACACTTCTCAGCTAATCGCACTTCATAAAGTACAAACATGTCTTTCTAATTTATGGTTCACTCCCCTGTTTTGTTTTGTTTTTTGTTTTTTTTCCCTGACCTGCTCACTGTCTGATGCTCTCCTTTCCTACATCGCAGCTGACCGGGGGGAGGAAAAAGAAGACGGAACGTTTACTGGAGCCGAGGAGCTTTTTGGCACCACCTCTGAGAGCGACACTTCCACTTTTCATGGCTTTGAGGACGACGAGCTGGAGGAACCGGCCACAAACGGCAATGGAATATCCAACCGTCACAGATAGAACAACAATTTTAGATTTAAACGGACTTTTTAAAAAATATAAATATATACAGATTACCCCCCCGGCAAAAATCAGCTGCTTCTTTTCAATGTTTTTGTTTGTTTTGCTTTCAGAAAGCACAAAGTGACAATTTCAGGACAGAAATGCGAGTGGTATTTTATCTACTGAACATTGTTGAATAATTTATGAATACTTTTCTTTTTTTTTTTATATAGAGCATAAATTAACCTTTTGATGCATCAAATGACCATCGGGGTTCCCCTAAAGGTGACTGTGCAGAACAGAAGATGTTTTTGGAGTGTGTGCATTTTTTTCTTTTTTTTTTCTTTTTTTTCCCCCTTGTTGGCAAAAAGGAAGCAAAATGCTATGAACAAAAACACTGGAGAAATGAGACTTTTAAAGGCACAGATGATGAGTTTGGTAGAATTTTTATTTTTAATTAATTGCAGGCAATGCTTGCATCTAAAGACTACTGGATGTTTTTCAGCAGGACTTTGAAGWCCTCCTCCTCTGCTCTAACTCTGGGTTAAATGTGTGAAAATGAAGGAGAACCACAGGTCACTGGAAATGTTTGAGTCACAAACATTTGCAACATTTATATTAATTGTCACTACAGACGAAGAACATGTCTAATGAAAGGTAAGCCACAATACGTTTTAATTCATTACGTTACCTCCTTCAAAACCTCTGTTGCAACCTTGCATATTATTGAAAATTGTAATAAAACAACACATTTTAGTTTTGGGAAATGGCAGCTTATTAAGTTACAAATAAAAGGCATACCTGATTTTAGCGTTTAGAAAATTGAAGTGAGCACACAGCATGCAGGAATAGTGATAACTCAGAATGTACAAGTTACACCCTCACACCGCACTTTTCCCAACACTTTACAATTTGAAGTTTTACCTAGTATTACTAAATTGTTAAGCTGATTTAGCAAGACTTTCCACAAAATGGTTAACTTTGAGCAGAACTCCCTCCCCAGYCTTATTTTAGCCGATTAGTTCTTAAAAAAAAGACTCAAGTCTTCCTTCATCCTTCTGTTTTTTAATATTCTTTATTTAATTAGGACAATACACATTAATGAACATTCTTATACTTCTGTATAGACTGTAAATGAGCCAGGTTATAGCATAGTTGCTAATTTACATCTGTAGTCCTGAGGCAGGAAGAAAAGGGGGGAAAAAGATGTTCAAAAGAACAAAACATAAAATCACAATRTACAATCATTTTTGAATTGTGGTGCTAAGTATCACTGAAGACAATGTTTCATTTGAAATGCTGTTTTATACTAATATCAAATCAAACAGAGTTAAAACGACTTTCAGCTCAGTTTATCCACTTTGTTTTCAAAGAGCACAGTTATTTGTCACAAAACAGATTTGTGCAGTGAACTGCCAAGTTATTCTACAACCAAGTGAGAAAGAGCAAATAGGTTTGGTGTAATTTGGCTGTAGATGTGAAAATCCAGCTTCTCTGTGTTCAAGCTGCAGTGCCGAGTTAAAACGACTTTCAGCTCAGTTTATCCACTTTGTTTTCAAAGAGCACAATTTGTCACAAAACAGATTTGTGCAGTGAACTGCCAAGTTATTCTACAACCAAGTGAGAAAGAGCAAATAGGTTTGGTGTAATTTGGCTGTAGATGTGAAAATCCAGCTTCTCTGTGTTCAAACTGCAGTGCCATGCAGTGTTGACATGTTAAACATCAGCAGGTTTGCAGTTCTGCTGCGAGCTTAGCACTTAGCTCAATTGATTGCCGTGCCTTAAGTCAAGGCTTGCAGAGCTGTTTACACGACTGCAGCCCTTTAGTCTTGTTCAGATGTATTGTGTGAGTCTAACCAGCGATGTCTGTTGGATAGGAGGAGTCAGCACATTGGCATGTGGCCCAGTGGCAGAGGGATGGCCAGTGAAGAAGAGGATTTAACCCTCAAAAAAACTAATGAGCCTTCACATCCCTCCTGATTTGGGCCTAAAGTGAGCATCTGACAAAGATGAACAGGCTTCCACATGGCTTCGTTGAAGCAACCGCTCCCTCGACGATATGTATCGACTTCTTGTGAAMATTTTGAAATGTGAGCATCCGGCTTCATTTCATCCTATCTGCACTGTGCTGGAGCCGCTCTCTGAACTATGGGAACACTAAAGGCAATGGCCTTTGGACTGTTTGTGCCCGACGGGTGCATCTGGGGGCCCCGGTTTGCCCACTCCTGCTCTGCTGTGTGATCTGATGTGACACTAAGACGTCATTATCCTCATCACTATGCTAGCCTGCCGCTCCGCGCTGGAAACMGGCTTTGACAGCCATCACCCCTCCAACCCGACTGGACCAGTGACCCTCTGACCYGCAGCCATAAAGACGGTGCTCCAGTCCACCACTATTACATGCAGACCTCTGGACTATGTAACCCTGACATAGTCACAAGGTTTTGGATTTCTTTTTCTATGTCTTCTGCTTTTCTTCTTTAAAAAACTTTTCACTTTTTTGCACCTTTTCTCTGCTGTAGAAGAGTTTTTTTATGTTTGGAGCTTCTTAAAGTTGGATTAGTTCTTTGRTTTGTCCAGACTGTTGATACCTCTGACCAGATCAGGTGCAGAAAACCCTCAGCAACTCAGGCATCTCTCATTTCCTCTGCCGTTGATTGTTTAGCTAATCAGCCCTAATTTGTGATTGTATTCAGCTAACAAAGAGGGACAGTGATACCCACATCGTGATTCATTACATAAGCGGTCTCATATTAGAGGAAACACCTGCAATAAGTCTGTTTTTCTTCCTCTTTTTCTTTTTAACCCAGCGTCATATTTTCCAGGCATAGCCTCCCAATCTTTTTAAAATTTGAAACCTGGAAAGAAAGCTTGCCTCGGATGCATTTAAAATAAAAATAGTTGCTGTGCTCAGATTCTATCCCTCATTAGAGATGATACTTGTGAGTAATTTGCAACATTTCTGTTGAGTGCTTTTTGAGGGCTTAATTGTTTTCTGGCATTTAGAGGGTGCTTTGAGTACTGTATCAAAAAGCTGTTAAGGCCCATAGTTCACACATACTGTAAAAGGTGTGTTTCTGTTTAATAGCTGCTCCGTTATTGAAGCTAACCATTATTCCAATGTGTGTGTTGTGACTTGTTTTGTGCATTCAAACCGTCTCTCCTCACTTCCCTCAGGGACCCCCTCTACACAGCAGTTTATCTCCGCAGGACAAAGAATGCATCTGAAACTTGTCGTCTTCCTTTGCATCAGTTGTGTGTTGTTGTTTGTTTGTTTTTTTTCCCACAGTAAAATGAGTCATTGTGTCTTTTTTAGCTTCCAAAGTTGCGCCAGTAGGTGAAAACGTGTGTCGCAAACTGCTCGCATCTCTGAACAAAATGAAAACGTGGAAATGTTAGGTCACGTCTGCTTAAAATACCGTCTTCTCTCCTGTCATTGAAGAGCCTGTATACCTCGTCAGACACAGCAATAGACCCCGGACCTCTCCTGTCGAGCCTGCAGGGGGGGGCTGGAGAAGGAGAATCAGGGTGGGAACGGAGCCAAGAAGAGATGAAACTGACATAACAGAGTGGTTTTGTTTGTTTTTTGCTTTTTTTTTTCTGCTGTAAATACAAGTCTAAAAGGAGAGAATGAAGAAGTGTTTGTTTGTTAAACTATTTTTATTGTTCTGAAAAAAATAAAGATAAAAAGAATGACTGAATGTTGGCGAGTGATGCTGTTTTTCTTTTATTCCAAGGAACTGAAACTTTCAGACTGGACATGTTGGAAGTCATCTTTAAACACTTTGAGTAAATCGGAATTTTTTGTTTTTTTATTTATACAGAGACAATGTACAACATTTCATTAACCTTTTACAAGGAGAGACACGTGGTACCAGGTTAAAGCCACGAATGCTAATTTCCAMCTGCAGTCCCTGGACTAGTTGATGTAATCAAACATGATTTAACAAATGATAAAAAGCCAATTTAGTAAATGWTGACATACATATTTAAAAAATYAGTTACTCAGATCTCATTAAAACAAAACTACAAACTAAAACAAACTCATTCTCCTTACTTTCATCAGTTGTGAGTACAAATCTGCTTATTTAACAGCCAYRTTTYTGCCAAATGTGCAAACATTTTATAAGTGGAGCATGTTATAATGTTCTTTGGTTAGCTATTCCAATGATCTGTGGCGACAAAGGAGAAAGAAGTTTTGTTAAAAGCAGTTSTACATTTTGGGATGCTKCACTCACCTCTAGAGGTCGCCTCCTGTTTTCTGATCTGAAAGAGACAAACTTTCTTAAAGGTGGAGCAGCAATAAATATTATGAAGACTTTTGTGAACTAAAATGTTTGCATAAGATATCAAATGCTCAAAGTTTAAAAAATCATATTTTGAAAGAATATGACAGTGATGAGTTTAGATTTCTTGTCATGAATCTTTAGAGTACYTTTATATATTGATTCAAGAGGTTTCAAAGTTGTTTTGCATGCCTGTGACCAACTAGTCATACAATATAAAAAAACGTGAAAAAAAATCATAAAATGTAGGTAAATATGGGACGCCTCATTGGTAAGAGAGCCACGTACAGTATATACCTAAAATTAACTACATGTTAAAGGCTTTCTAAGTTTTTTGAAGGTTAACGTTGGATCTAAAGTCACACCTAGATAAGTAAATTCATTAACATTTTGAAATTTTCCTGTTTATATAAATATCTGGATAACTTGTAATTTTTCGTCTRTTTGTAAAAATTGCAACTGTCTTTCCTGTATTTAAGTTAAAGTTAAATTTAAAGGAGACGTACACAAATTTCACTCGTTTAGCCATTAAATACATTTTGTTGCACTTGGAGTCTCTMTAGGAGTCAGAAAAGTTTAATTTAGTCTCCTGGTGCTGCATACATATCTTTATATTCTATTTGTTTCATATTTAGCAAACTGTTCAGTTTTCTCTATAGTATGTAACTTTTTATGAACTACTAAGTCACAGTATTTGTGACAGAACTGTTAAATAAGGTCTTGACTTACCAAATACAATTGAGTCATCTTCATCCTCCTCTGGCTCCAACATGTAAGTCTGGATGGACAAGTCTACCTTTGTTGATGTGTTTTAATTAAAAAAAGTTTCTGTGCCATTTCTGTGCTATCAAACTGCTCTGGAAGCTAGGGAGGTGAGGTGTTTGGATTTAAAGAGACAGCATGAAAACGAGTTGATTTGAGACACACCTCAGAAAAGGGGTGAGCCTGATACGGCCCGTGGTACATTCCCAATTTGTAGTCMCTTCCTGCCTCTTTATAACTTGGCCCACGCTACCAGGGACTTTGAATTTGCAKAATAGGTTGTTCAAATGATTCAATTGTTGGTCTTCTTTTGATTGACACCTCTTTTGACCAACTGGGTTCATTTATAGACTCTCCAGAGCCCAAAATGTGTGGCAAGCCCCTCATGTCCCACCTGTCAGTGGTACACGATTTATCGACTAGAATCGGCCAATCAGCTCTGAAGGCCCTGTCGCACTTAAATGTTTTAGACAACTTATGCCAACTTATGAAATGTTTTTGTCTAAATTATTAATAAACATTATACATTGTTATCAGTTTATTAGCAGTACAGTGTACATGCCTAAATGAGACTTCTAGTTGATWTTTGTTATATCGTCAACATGTCTGAAATTTTCACGAGTTGGCWTAAAGTGTCTGACACCACAGCTGTGTGGCCAATATGTAGCTTTGGAAATTAAAAAAATGATGGTTACAGTGTATTTTAACTTCAATAACTAAATACTAGTTATAATTACAAAAATTATGACTCATAAAGTAAAAAAAAATTTCAGATTGATAGCTGTACCTAGAGACTAGGCTTGTGGATTTACTCCAAAAGGTTCAAGAGCAATACTTAATTTGGGTTAGCTCCACAGGCTAACAGGCTAAATTTTTACATGATTATTTAAAAAAACAAAAAGGGAAAAGTACTTTTAGCTCATTGTCAAATTTGAGTCTGCAAATTTTTTACAAGCTACAGTACTGTTCCAGTTTAAAAAAATAAGCTGGACGAAGTTGTTTAGTGGAGTAATAAAAGATTTAAAGTATCAATAAAGATTTACTCTTTTTTTTTCCTCTGAAGTGTCAGGTGATATTCTGTAAAAGACTTTTAAAATGTGCTCCTGTGGGCTTTGCTGTYTTATAAGTATAGAAACTCTGCCAATGTTCTCATCTTTCTGCTTTCTGGCTGTTCATTTGGATCTTTAGAAGGATGTTAGAGATGCAGCTGCTAGAGGAAAGACAGAGGAGATGGATGCAGTAAGAGAGGACATGGAGGAGGATGAGTCACTGTGGCGACCCCTGAAGAGAGAACAGTCAATAGAAAATGTTTTTCACCTGTTTTCTCACAGATCTCAAGTTACCTTTTTTATATATTTTATAAGTTTTACAGTAATATCTATGTTCACTCCTTTTTCTTGTCGTAGAGCCCGAGGAGACAAACTGACTTCTTTTGAGTCGTGACTCAGAACAACAAACGCCAGCAGACAGGTCCAGAGAGTTTATTATTTGGGACCCATGAATGGACAGCAGGTGCTTGAGTGTTTTACAGTGCCAGTAGTTATCTTGCTGATTGAGAAACTAAAAGCACAAAATGCCCTGAATATGTGACATGCATAGTAATGTGCCCATATAATAAGAATAAGAATAATAAAGTGTGCTTTTTTGGATAATAAATTGTAACCAGTTTAAATTTACAATGCACTTGGYACATAATGTTACTGTCTTTGTAACATTTGGTACACAGACTCAAGTTAAGCATCTCTCTACCTTTTATATTTAAGAGGTTACTTGTTTAGAACATTAATAATGGTTTGCAGTATGACCTGTACAGTGCATTGAAGTAATTACTAGAAACTGACAGATGAGGATCATTCAGCGGTGTCACTGTAGCAGTGAGTGGCCACATGGAGGAGCTGTGAGAGGAGAAACTTGCAGCACTTCCTGTGTGCAGAAGGTAGCAGCCACAGTGGAGCAGAGAGGCCTCTGTGTGCAACACGCAGCACGACTTCCCACTCCAGAGCTTCCATGTCCGTTCGCCTACAAAACGTGCTCCAGTTCAGGATGTGTGCCGCTGAGTTCATCCATGCTCCACATGGTCCAGCATGCACCATTTTCCATATTCAAAAAACACGTAACGATTAGTAGACCAAAAGAAAAGACAGCATCGGACATTGGTTTGACAAAATTAAGGATGTGATATCCATGCAGTAAACAGAACTTAAATAATCCCAACAAGCCTTGGATGATCAACCACTTCAGATTATCATTCATGACGGTGTGAACACAGCAGGATGGAGCTCTGTCACACACTGCTGCTGGTCCAGTGAGTCATACAGGTGGACCCCACCACTCTATGGCACTGAAAACTTTAAGCACTAATCTATAGTAGGAGACTTAGTGTGGACTGTAATTTCACCTAATCTAAAAGCTCAAATCACAATAATTCACACYGTGCCACTTTTTTTTTTCTTAGGCCTCTAAGGTATTCACACAGACTTTTGGAGTCGATTTATTTTTCTGGTAACTTTGTAAGTCGACGCTCGGGCGTTGCGAGAGCCAAACCCGTCTTTGTTGTAGAAACGCTTACTTAGACGTTCAGATGAAACATGCAACAGTGCAGTATGGTTGCTACATTAAGCCCTTATGCCTGATTCTGGAATGTAGTGAAGCTTGAAAAATTACACCTTGAAAATCAGGTCTGTAGACGTGATTGCAGAAAACATGAGGGATAAAACGTGGTTTTGTTTTTATAACTGCGGACTGTGTTGACTGTTTGACTTGTTACRTCTTAAAAAAACAGAAAACAGAAATTTCAAGAATATAAAAAGAGGTTGGACTTAATTCTAAGGGATTAAAAATGTTGCAGAATKGTTTTATTGCTTGTTGCCTTTGGGGATCAGAGATGTACATGAAGCTGATTTGTGTTGGATTTTGGTTGAAGTTTGGAATGGCTAATTTTGGATCATTTTCTTCAATTTAAAAGGAGCATTTGTCAACACAAATAAAAAAAAATAAAAAAAAGAAAACCAATCATTTTAGTCAAGCCTAAGTTTAAGTTTGCCACTGAAGTGATGAAGAGGAAGCAGCCTCTGTCCGGATGCTGCATGCCGTGCGGTTCTGTTAGCTGAGGTTCCTCTTGTAGCCATCGTCTTCTCCTCAGTGGTTCCGTTTGGGGTGTTCACCCCGGCGGGCCTGGCGYTGCACTACCAGTCCGACAGCAGACCTCGGGTCAGTGTTCGGGAGGCTCCACAGCTGACCTGTTCGCCACAGCTCCACTGTCTGAGCCCCTGTGAGGCTGTCCCCCCACCAACAGGGTCCAGCGATCCCCCTCCAGGACAGGCTGTGTCAAGATGACTGCATCAGGCCTGTCAGGCGCTTTCCTGTTAAAGACTTGCCCTAGAAAGTTGAGTAAAATACAAATAATAATTAAAAAAAACTACCATATAAATACTGAGATGTTGAAGTAGAGGCACTCCACAAACTATAAAAGTACCATCATGTCACTTTAACCAAATAAAAAGCAATTAGCACCTCAAATTTTTAGCTTTTAGAAACCTTTTAATAAATGTGAAACTTGCTCTTTTGTATAAATTTGCAAACACATTAAAGCTTTTAAAAAAGGTAAATATTGCGCAGCTCACAAATAAGTAAGTGTATGTTTTTTCCTCTGCAAAATCACTTATTTTGGTACATTTTATAGATTTCCTTTTAGTAAAATGTATTCAAAACTTAAACTACAATCCCAATTTTGAAAAAGTTGTGACGTTATGAAAAATATAAATGAAAAGAAAAATCATTTCTGATTTGCGTTCCTCGCCCCTTC